CAACACAAATAATATTTATTTCAATAATATTACATAAATTAAAACATGTTTCCACCATAGATAACATAATTTATGCTGCTTGAGTTGCAAAACAAAATGTATGTATGTATGTATGTATGTATGTATGTATGTACGTACGTACGTACGTACGTACAGGTACGTATGTATGCAGTGTTTCCCCTATATAATATTCATTTAGCTGCTAAATCGTTGTCGCCACTCCAAAAAATATGATAAAACCAGATATAATGTATGCAGAGAAGATAATGGAGCTATATATATTTTTAAATAAGATAATCTTTCAGTACTAAAAATCACCAAAAGCAAAACAAGACAGTCAGGGAGAATACATGCATACATACATACAAACAGTTGAAGTCGGAAGTTTACATACACTTAGGTTGGAGTCATTAAAACTCATTTTTCAACCGCTCCACAAATTTCTTGTTAACAAACTATAGTTTTGGCAAGTTGGTTAGGACATCTACTTTGTTGACTGTGCCTTTAAACAGCATTGAAAATTCCAGAAAATTGTGTCATGGCTTTAGAAGCTTCTGATAGGCTAATTGACATCATTTGAGTCAATTGGAGGTGTACCTTCAAACTCAGTGCTTCTTTCCTTGACATCATGGGAAAATAAAAAAAAATCAGCAAAGACCTCAGTCTGGTTCATCCTTGGGAGCCATTTCCAAACGCCTGAAGGTACCACGTTCATCTGTACAAACAATAGTACGCAAGTATAAACACCATGGGGCCACGCAGCCGTCATACCGCTCAGGAAGGAGACGCGTTGTCTCCTAGAGATGAACGTACTTTGTGTGCGAAAAGTGCAAATCAATCCCAGAACAACAGCAAAGGACCTTGTGAAGATGCTGGAGGAAACAGGTACAAAATTATCTATATCCACAGTAAAATGAGTAATATATCGACATAACCTGAAAGGCCGCTCAGCAAGGAAGAAGCCACTGCTCCAAAACCGCCATAAAAAAGCCCGACTACAGTTTGCAACTGCACATGGGGACAAAGATTTTACTTTTTGGAGAAATGTCCTCTGGTCTGATGAAACAAAAATAGAATTGTTTGGCCATAATGACCATCGTTATATTTGGAGGAAAAAGGGGGTGCTTGCAAATCGAAGAACACCATCCCAACCGTGAAGCACGGGGGTGGCAGCATCATGCTGTGGGGGTGCTTTGCTGCAGGAGGAACTGGTGCACTTCACAAAATAGATGGCATCACGAGGAAGGAAAATTATGTGGATATATTGAAGCAACATCTCAAGACATCAGTCAGGAAGTTAAAGCTTGGTCGCAAATGGATCTTCCAAATGGACAATGACCCCAAGCATACTTCCAAAGTTGTGGCAAAATGGCTTAAGGACAACAAAATCATTGGAGTGGCCATCACAAAGCCCTGACCTCAATCCTATAGAACATTTGTGGGCAGAACTGAAAAAGCGTGTTCGAGCAAGGGAGCCTACAAACCTGACTCAGTTACACCAGCTCTGTCAGGAGGAAGGGACCAAAATTCACCCAACTTATTATGGGAAGCTTGTGGAAGGCTACCCGAAATGTTTGACCCAAGTTAAACAATTTAAAGGCAATGCTACCAAATACTAATTGAGTGTATATAAACTTCTGACCCACTGGGAATGTGATGAAAGAAATAAAAGCTTAAATAAATAATTATCTCTACTATTATTCTGACATTTCACATTCTTAAAATTAAGTGGTGATCCTAACTGACCTAAGACAGGGACTTTTTACTAGGATTAAATGTAAGGAATTGTGAAAAACTGAGTTTAAATGTATTTGGCTAAGGTGTATGTAAACTTCTGACTTCAACTGTATATTCACTACTGGTCAAAAGTTTTAGAACACCTACTCATTCAAGGAGTTTTCTTTATTTTTTACTATTTTCTACATTGTAGAATAATAGTGAAGATATCAAAACTATGAAATAACACATATGGAATCATGTAGTAACCAAATGGAAGTGTTAAACAAATCAAAACTATATTTTATGTTTGAGATTCTTCAAAAAGCCACCCTTTCCCTTGATGACAGCTTTGCACACTTGGAATTCTCTCAACCAGCTTCACCTGGAATGCTTTTCCAACAGTCTTGAAGGAGTTTCCACATATGCTGAGCACTTGTTGGCTGCTTTTCCTTCACTCTGTGGTCCGACTCATCCCAAACCATCTCAATTTGGTTGAGGTCGGGGGATTGTGGAGGCCAGGTCATCTGATAAAGCACTCCATCACTGTCCTTCTTGGTAAAATAGCAGTTACACAGCCTGGAAGTGTGTTGAGTCAATGTCCTGTTGAAAAACAAATGATAGTCCCACTAAGCCCAAACCAGATGGGATGGCGTATCGCTGCAGAATGCTGTGGTAGCCATGCTGGTTAAGTGGGCCTTAAATTCTAAATAAATCACAGACAGTGTCACCAGCAAAGCATCCCCACACCATAACACCTCCTGCTCCATGCTTTACGGTGGGAAATACACATGTGGAGATCATCCATTCACCCACACCACGTCTCTCAAAGACACGGTGGTTGGAACAAAAAATCTCAAATTTGGACTCCAGACAAAAGGACAAATTTCCACCGGTCTAATGTCCATTGCTTGTGTTTCTTGGCCAAGCAAGTCTCTTCTTATTATTGGTGTCCTTTAGTAGTGGTTTCTTTGCATAAATTCGACCATGAAGGCCTGATTCAAACGGTCTCCTCTGAACAGTTGATGTTGAGATGTGTCTGTTACTTGAACTCAGTGAAGCATTTATTTGGGCTGCAATTTCTGAGGCTGGTAACTCTAATGAACTTATCCTCTGCAGCAGAGGTAACTCTGGGTCTTCCATTCCTGTGGCGGTCCTCATGAGAGCCAGTTTCATCATAGCGTTTTATGGTTTTTGCGACAGCACTTGAAGAATCTTTCAAAGTTCTTGAAATGTTCCGTATTGACTGACCTTCATCTCTTAAAGTAATGATGGACTGTCGTTTCTCTTTGCTTATTAGAGCTGTTCTTGACATAATATGGACTTGGTCTTTTACCAAATAGGGCTATCTCCTGTATACCCCCCTCCCCCTACCTTGTCACAACACAACTGATTGGCTCAAACACATTAAGAAGGAAGGAAAGAAATTCCACAAATTAACTTTTAACAAGGCACACCTGTTAATTGAAATGTATTCCAGGTGACTACCTCATGAAGCTGGTTGAGAGAATGCCAAAAGTGTGCAAAGCTGTCATCAAGGCAAAGGGTGGCTATGAAATAACACATATGGAATCATGTAGTAACCAATAATGTGTTAAACAAATCAAAATATATTTTATATTTGAGATTCTTCAAATAGCCTCCCTTTGCCTTGATGACAGCGCTGTGCATTCTGCAGTGATACGCCATCCCATCTGATTTGCGCTTAGTAGTCGTATCATTTGTTTTTCAACAGGACAATGACCCAACACACCTCCAGGCTGTGTAAGGGCTATTTTACCAAGAAAGAGAGTGATGGAGTGCTGCATCAGATGACCTGGCCTCCACAATCCCCCGACCTCAACCCAATTGAGATGGTTTGGGATGAGTCGGACGGCAGAGTGAAGGAAAAGCAGCCAACAAGTGCTCAGCATATGTGGGAACTCCTACAAGACTGTTTGAAAAGCATTCCAGGTGAAGCTCGTTGAGAGGATGCAAGAGTGTGCAAAGCTGTCATCAAGGCAAAAGGTGGCTACTTTGAAGAATCTCAAATATTAAATATATTTTGATTTGTTTAACACTTTTTTGGTTGCTACGTGATTCCATATGTGTTATTTCATAGTTTTGATGTCTTCACTATTATTCTACAATGTAGAAAAAAAAAAAAAAAAAAAAAAAAACTAGAATGAGTAGGTTTGTCCAAACCTTTGACTGGTACTGTACATGATTGTGCTTTTGGTTAACATGTAAAAAAGATTGAAGATTGAAGACAAAATAATTGTAATGAGGGAGGTAAAGGCATGCTGTCTCAACAGTCAAAGCAAAAAGCAGCTAAAACTGTAGGCATTGTGGTGGGTATTTTCATATTTTGCTTGCTGCCTTTCTTTGTTAATTTCATAGTTGAGCCAAACACAAACTTTAGCACACCACCCACTCTCTTTGAAGTGTTTATCTGGCTGGGTTACTTTAATTATACTGCAAATCCAATAATCTATGCACTGTTTTATCCTTGGTTTCGAAAATGTCTTAATCTTATTTTCACTTTGAAAATATTCATTACAAATTCCTCCTATATAAATGTATTTGCTACTACATGATCTATTGTAAATCTACATTAATATAATGTAAAATTGTGTGTGAACAGTATGTACCTAACTTCTTTTTTTATTTTAACCTAAGCAATGACCTGTCCACCTTGGATGGTGTGTTTAAAGAAGCAATTGAAGAGAAGCATTTGATAAACCTCTTCTGCATATTCTACAACTGTTCATATTTACCTGGTCTTTTTCGTGTAACTGTGTTTAACTTACACATCCTTCAGTTGAACTTAACAGTTCTTTGGTCTAATGGCTGGTGTTAAACTAAACAGTTTACATTTACTTATCTTATCCAGAGTGACTTACATAAGCAATAAGGGTTAAGTGCCTTGCTCAAGGGCATATCAACAGATTTTTCCCCTATTCAGTTCGGGGATTCAAACCAGTGACCATTTAGGTACTAGCCCAATGCTCCTAACCGCTAGGCTACCTCCCCAGTTCAACACCAGCCATTTGGTCTAATGCCTGGTGTTAAGCTAAACAGCAGGTACCCAGGTTTGAGTCCCGTTTGAAATTTGATCTTGCTGTAAAGCAGAGCATAGAGTGGATCATGTGACTGAAAGCATGGCATACAGACCAGGGAGCAGAGTGCAATATTTGGGTCATTGAGGAGTTTTACTATAAATATGTTGCCTGTGAGGTTATTTTGTTTCACAAGTATCGAGTACTGTGTCTTCAGTGATCTCATTCTAAATCCCAGGAGTAGGGATGCTTAACATCTACCTAAAGATTTTCCTTAAAGCACAGAGAAAGGCATACTCAAATCAGGGTACAACCAATCAGAACTCTGTAGGCAAATCACAGAGAAAGACCATCAAAACACTTGGTATCATTATGGGGGTATTTCTATCATTCTGGACACCATTTCATGTCTCCAACTGCATTGATCCCTTTATTAGTTACTCTACGACACTAGTTGTGTTTGTAACATTTATATGGATTGGCTATTTGAATTCAACTATTAATCCCATGGTGTATGCATTCATTCACAGTTGGTTCAGTAGGGCGTTCAGAATGATAATTTCTGGTGAAATATTTCAAACTGATTCTTCAATAATACAAATGTTTTTGCTAAAACCAGTACTGCCAAAGAAGTGTGAAAAATGTGCCTTGCTCCTAGTCCTTTTTTAAATCACATCAGAGATGTGTATAGGATTCAAAAGCAATTACAATCCAGTTGTCACCAAAACCTTTTTTATTATATTAATAACATCATTGTATTTGAACATGGGGGAGACTGCAGTAGACCTATCCACAGCAAATCCAGTAATGTCCACTCGTGAAAGTTACTGTGTTCTCTTTACTCCCATAAGTTACCGACCGGCTTGAAATTGTGTTTTTTACATCGGATAAAAGTAGAGACAGAGCTAGAAAATGGGATATCATACACTACAGTTGAGGAACAATGGGAAAGTAATTCTGCTTTGAAAGTTGATAAACTTGTAACCTCACTTTTGTGAAAATGGTACACCTACTGGAGAGCTCTTCTTTGTCTACACCCATTCAACATTTTTCACACCCTCTAAAGCCTTAGCCCCACCCATCTCTTTAAGGATTAACATGTGAGGCCATGTACTAAACAACCAAAGCTTTCAAGACTAAAGGCTGGTTTATACTACGGGTGTGTTTGTAAATTTAATCTGGAGTGCCACAGTGTGCTCAGAGCGCACTCTGGGCGTTCGTAAACTCAGAGCGTTGTCAGATTGTCCGTTTGTAAATTCAGAGCGTTTTGCTCTCGGAGCGTTCAGAGCGCATACTGGAGCTCTGGCCGAGGAGTAGGGTTGATCCGAGTGTTCTGACCTAACAACAGCAGTCAAGTACCCAAGCTAACTGGCTAACGTTGGCTAGCTTGCTAGCTACTTCCAGAACAGCTCACAATTTTACTCACCCTAGTAGAGCTGGTTGGGCTGTTTTTATGTTATCAAGGGCGTTGGTGACTGCAACTGTGCTGCTGGCAACAATTTAATTACTAATTTTTGCCAACGTTTACTGACACCGGCCATATTCAACGGGTGTTAAGTGTTCATAAATTCGTCAGTTATTCTGCGCTCTGGCACACTCAGACAAGAGTGCTCTGAAATTGGAGTAGATAGCCAAAGCGAATTTACCAACTACGTCCATCGACAGTTGACATCATGAATATTATATTTAAATGGTTACTTGTATAGTGGAGTCTTTTGTTTAGACATGTATGTCACGCCCTGGCTCTGAGGACTCTTAAATGTTGAGCCAGGGTGTGTCGTTTCTATGTTGTGTTTTCTATGTTTAGTTTCTAGATCGTTTAGATCTATGTTGGCCAGGGTGGTTCCCAATCGGAGGCAGCTGTAGCTCGTTGTCTCTGATTGGGGACTATACTTAGGTAGCCTGTTGGCACTAGTGGGTTGTGGGATCTTGTTCCGTGTAAGGTATGTTGTTTGTATGCTACCTTGGACTTCACGTTTCGTTTGTTGTTTTGTCGTGTGTTTAGCCGTAAATAAATATGAATGTACATCACGCTGCGCCTTGGTCCTTCTCGTCCGTAAACGATCGTGACAATGTAGCTAGCTAGCTAGCTAAACAATGAACCATAATCCCAACTCAAAACATTACTACCCTGCATGAATTTGCAGGTAGCTAACCAACCAGGTTCAATATTAGCTAGCTAACATTAGGCTATAACTGGCAATGCAAATGGCTCTGCGATACGAATAATATAACTACACAGCAAGCCAGCCAGCTAACGTTAGCTAGCTAGCTAACAGTACACTTTAACTTGAAATTAAAATGACTTTCTGACAAAATTAGAAACGTGTAATATCTGAAAATGTAGCTAGCTAGACTATCTTACCCGTATACATGGATGGACGCTTCTCCCTCTCTATCACGGATGCCATGGTTGCCCTTAGTTTGAAGATGTAATCCAAAAATAGGTGTTTTATACAACAGCCTTCTGTGTGTTCTCTTTTCGACTCCGTCTGCATATTTGCAATGAAACGCCAACATTTTCTCCATCTCCTTAGCTATCATACTCTAATTCCAATGATTTCAAAACTCAGTCCTCCAGAAAATGGAGAGCAACACTTATGCAATTCTACTACATGATATCTTTCAAAAAAGCCAGCGGCGTAACAAAGGATTACCAACACATACTGACCAGCTCATGTTATAGACAGAAGCGTTCTACATGGCAGACCAATCCGAACTCATCTCTCAGCATGTCCAGCCCACTCATTATCTCAGCCAATCATGGCTAGCGGGAAGGTTGCTGTCTTTTTCTGTGGCTAAATCAACTAGGCTTGTAATTTAACGATTTTATTCATATTTACAGATGGCAAACAAGTTTGTTATTAAGGCACATGAAAGTGCACATGTTCCAGAAGGCATTTCTGCTAGAAAAAGCTTTTGATTAAAAAAAAAAGTTTTAGTTCAAATGGCAACATACAGTATGTCTAGTTTCCTGAAACGAGTCACATATCTAGTACATTTTATTTTATTGTTCACAAAATATAAACATACACAGAGAAAAGACAACAGACAGACGCACACAAACATCAATGACATCACACCTGCCCCACATGCTCCCACCGCATCCATCACCACCGCCTCCAAGACTCTATGCCACATGGCCTCAAACTGTGCCACTCTGCCCTTCTCTGTCGCCTACGCCCTTTCAATATTCAAATAATAATGTATTTGATTCTTCCACAGTCCCAATGATGGAGGATCTCTTGATTTCCAGTTTGTAAGTAAAAGTTTTTCTAAATGATTGATGAGAAAAGTATGGTCCAACCGATTGGGTATCTCACCGCACCCTCATATGCCATGTCTTGAAATATGTAGATAGACTGAATTAAAAGTACATTTACATTGTAAAACTTCTGACAGCCAACTTTCCAACTCCGCCCATAACTTTTGGACTTTATAGCACTCCCAAAAGGCATGAATTATTGAGTCCTTGTTAGTTTTACACTTAAGACATGACTCTGCTGTTGTGCCATAGAATTTGTGAATTTTGTCTCTTGTATAATAGATTCTATACATTAGTTTATACAGGATTAAACGTACATTTCTATTAACTGTAATTTTATTATGTATGTTCGAACACTCCCTCCATCTTGTGTCAATATCAATTATTTTTATGTCTTGGTTCCAATAGTTTATATTTTTTTTCGAAGAGATTGACAGTTAGATAGGCTCTCTGCAAGGTTTATTATATCTTACCTATCATATTCATATCCTTTTCTGACTCAAATAGGATTCCCTCAACGTTGCTCTGATGTGAAAAAGATTTCATGATATAAAACTTTTAAGTTGCATGTATTTTAAAATGTTTACATTGGTCAGTCCAAAATGGCTTTTAATTCTGTCATGGAAATAATAGTAATACAAATGATAATTGTACCAAGTCATTTACGGTTTCCATGCCTTTAGTTTTCCTTGTGGGCCAATTTATCGGTGAATTCGAAAAAGCTATGCAAGTATTTTTCCAAGGGCTGTATTTTTGGGAGTGATATTGGTTCTTGTGGAATCTGTTTAATTTTCTTTCATATTGTTATAGTGTTTTTAACTATGAAGTTGTTAATGTTCTTACCTTTATCCTTTGAAAATAGACACGTGAAAAGATTCTGAGGATGTACAGTACATGCGCATCTTCAATATGTACCCATTGTTCCTCTTCAGGATTATTGAGTTGTCTAATTCTAAATTAATATAGATTTTCATAGGAGCTTTTAAAATTGTTATTAATACCATTGTTGTTTCTAATTAAAGCATTTGTATCCTTATCTTTTAAAATTATACCTGGTTTGGTATGTATTTGTTTTGTGAGGGCTGCAAGGTGTTTACCAGGTTTATTTGCCATTAAATAGTATGCTTTATTTGAATTTAACTTGAAAAAGATCATATTCCTGTTTAAGTTCAGAAAATGCATTTTCTTCTTAACCTTGTAAATATTTTTGAGGGTCTTTTTCTAATACAGTAATTGATTTGTCTTAAATGTAATTAAATTTTGTGGGTTGGCTTTTCTCTGTCCTCTGTGTCTACATTTGTAATGGTAAAGGTCTTTATTTTTTTGTTTACCTATTTAATACATTTCGGGTCTTGAAGATGTGCTCTGTTCATTCTCCATATTCTGTCGCTAAGTGTATTTTCTGTTGGTGTAATTAAGCATGATACAGGAGAATAATCCGATATCACTATGTCATGGATTTCTTTAACCCAGTATATATTTTTGGAAATAAAAATGTAGTCAATTCTTGAATAGCTTTTCCTTTTTTGAGGGAAAAAAAGGAGTAGTCTTTTGTAGTTGGGAATAGTAATCGCCAGGTGTCCTGTAAATTATTTTGTAGAAAATACAGTTTTCAGCCCCTTTGGAGGCATTTATTTCTACACCTCAAAACTTTCACCTAGGACAGACTTTGAGTATAATAATACTATTTTCACCACAGTAATCTCTGTATATATTTGTTAACTTTGTGTTTGTGTGAATTAGTCAGTCTGTTTTCAGACAGAGGGCAGCTGATATTTGGCTCAAAGCCCTGTAAGGTCATTAAAGTTGTATTGATTATACATTCACAGTTGTATATGACATTGAGCCTTATACATTGTTACATTTAAATGTCATGTTGTGTTAAACAAAATAGGCGTGGTGTCTCAACGGTCAGAGTGAAAAACAGATTAAACTTTAGGCATTGTGGTGGGTGTTTTCATCTTTTGCTGGCTGCTTTTCTTTATTAATTACACAGTTGAGCCATACACAAACTTTAGCACACCACCTATTCTCTTTGAAGTGTTTATCTGGCTGGGTTACTTTAATTCTACTGCAAATCCAATCATCAATGCACTGTTTATCCGTGGTTTAGAAAATGTCTTAATCTCATTGTCACATTAAAAATATTCAATAGAAATTCCTCCTATATAAATGTATTTGCTACTACATGATCTATTGTAAAGCTACATCAATATCATGTAAAACTGTGTACTGTACTGTACCATTATTATTATTTTTAAACCTAAGCAATGACATGGCCACCTTGGATAGTGTGTTCAAGGAGGCAAATGAAGAGAAGCATATGAGAAACCTCTTCTGCATATTCTACTGCTGTCAGTATTTGCCTGGTCTTTTTCGTGTAAATGTGTTTAAGTTATAAATCTTTTGGTTTAACTAAACAGTTCTTTGGTCTAATGGCTGGTGTTGAACTAAACAGTTCTTTGGTCTAAAGGCTGTTGTTGAACTAAACAGTTCTTTGGTATAATGTTGAACTAAACAGTTTACATTTAGCAGACACTTTTATCCAGAGCAATTTACAGGAGCAATTAGGGTTAAGTGCTATGCCCATGATGGGCACATCAACAGATGTTTCACCTATTTGGCTTGGGGATTCAAACCAGTGACGTTTCGATTACTGGCCTAATGCTCCTAACCGTTAGGCTACCTCTCCAGTTGAACATCAGCCTGTTTGAATTTTGGTCTTGCTGTAAAGCAGAACATAGACTAGATCATGTGACTGAAAAGCATGACAAACAGATCCGGAGCAGAGTGCAATATTTGGGTCATTAAGGAGTTTTACTATAAATATGTTGCCTGCAAGGGAGGATGTATTTTGTTTCAAAACGAAGTATTGAGTACTGTGTCTTCAGTGATCTCATTCTAAATCCCAGGAGTAGGGATGCTTAGCATCTACCTAAAGATTTTCCTTATAGCACAGAGACAGGCATACTCAAATCAGGGTACAACCAATCAGAACTCTGTAGGCAAGTCACAGAGAAAGGCCATCAAAACATTTCGTATCATTATGGGGGTATTTCTATCATTCTGGATACCCTTTTTTGTCTGCAACTGTATGATACCTTTATTACCAGCTTTGTTTGTAACATTTATATGGATTGGCTATTTGAATGCAACTATTAATCCCATGGTGTATGCATTCTTTCAGAGTTGGCTCAGGAGGGGGTTTAGAATGATAATTTCTGGTAAAGTATTTCAACCGGACTCTTCAATAATACAGTTGTTTTCAAAATGAATATGTCCAATACCAGTACTGAAAAAGAACTGTGACCAATATTTGCCTTGCTCTTAGTCATTTTATAAACCTTATCAGCCACATGTATAGGATTCAAAAGCAATTACAATCCAGTTGACCCAAAACCTTATTTATTTATTAATAATTTAATTTAATTTGAACATGGGGGAGACTGCAGTCGGCCTATCCACAGCAAATCCACCCAAATCCACTAGTGAGAGTTACTGTAGCCTCTCCACTCCCATATCTAGTACGTACAGTTGAAGTCGGAAGTTTACATACACTTAGGTTGGAGTCATTAAAACTCGTTTTTCAACCACTCCACACATTTCTTGTTAACAAACTATCGTTTTGGCAAGTCGGTTAGGACATCTACTTTGTGCATGACACAAGTCATTTTTCCAACAATTGTTTACAGACAGATTATTTCACTTATAATTCACTGTATCACAATTCCAGTGGGTCAGAAGTTTACATACACTAAGTTGACTGTGCCTTTAAACAGCTTGGAAAATTCCAGAAAATGATGTCATGGCTTTAGAAGCTTCTGATAGGCTAATTGACATCATTTGAGTCAATTGGAGGTGTACCTGTGGATGTATTTCAAGGCCTACCTTCAAACTCAGTGCCTCTTTGCTCGAGAGGGGCTGACGTCATGGTCTGGACTGGAGCCGCTGACCGGAGCTGGACTGGGCACCGGTGGAGCGGACTACTCTGGCTCCGGAGTGGAGCCGCTGACCGGAGCTGGATCAGGCTCCGGTGGAGCGGACTGCTCTGGCTCCGGAGTGGAGCAGCTGACCGGTGCCGGACCAGGCACCGGTGGAACGGGCACGGACCGGACTGGCGACGCGCACCACTGGCTTGGTGCGAGGAGCAGGAACAGGCCGGCCCGTGCTGGCGACGCGCACCACTGGCTTGGTGCGAGGAGCAGGAACAGGCCGGACCGGGCTGGCGACACGCACCACTGGCTTGGTGCGAGGAGCAGGAACAGGCCGGACCGGGCTGGCGACACGCACCACTGGCTTGGTGCGAGGAGCAGGAACGGGTCGGGCCGTACTGGGAACACGCACCACTGGCTTAGTGCGGGGAGCAGGAACGGGCCGGGCCGGGCTGGCGACGCGCACCACTGGCTTGGTGCGAGGAGCAGGAACAGGCCGGGCCGGGCTGGCGACGCGCACCACTGGCTTGGTGCGAGGAGCAGGAAAGGGCCGGGCCAGGCTGGCGACGCGCACCACTACCTTGGTGCGGGGAGCAGGCACGGGCCGGACCGGACTGCCGACACGCACCACTTGCTTGGTGTGAGGAGCAGGACTGGGTTCCTTTATTAACCCCCACTCCTTCTGCTGCCTAACCAGCTCCTCTCGCCGTGCCTCTACCTTTTCCTTCTCCCTTTTAGCTTCCTGTAGTGCCTCCCTCTGACCGAATAACTCCTGCTCCCTCTGAACAAATAGCCCCCGTAACATGGCGGCCTCCTGCTGCCTCGTCATCCACACCGTGTGCCCCCCCCAAAAATTTTATTGGGGTTGCCTCTCGGGTCTCCGTCGTCGGCACTCCTCTTCCCGTGAGGACTCCTCCAGGAGCCCCCACGAGTTAGGGAACAGAAACTCGTCGTCGTCGTCATCCTCCGACTCCTCAGTATAATCTTGGGTCCCCATGTTCGTGGGGACCCAATCTGGAAACCAACCGGGTGCAGTGGTCGGGGCTCTTCTCTCTCGCTCCCCGACCACCCCTTTAGCCCCCCCAAAACATTTTCTTGGGGCTGCTTCTCGGGCTTCCTCCTCGGCCGGCTTCCGTGTTGCCGTTGCTCCTCTCCTGCCTGGGCTTCCTTCTTCGCCCAGGGTCCTTTTCCCGAAAATATCTCCTCCCATGACCAAATCTTCCCCACCTGTGTCCAGGGTGTTCGGTCCTCCTGGGCACGCTGCTTGGTCCATGTTTGGTGGGATCTTCTGTCACGTACGTTCATAGACGGGTCTGACCAAGGCGCAGCGTGATATGCATACATGTTTATTTAAACTTGATAAACAACGACAAAACAATAAACCAACGAAACGTGACGTCCAAAGGTAACACACAACAAACCTCACACGGAACAAGATCCCACTAGTGCCAATAGGCTGCCTAAGTATTGGCCCCAATCAGAGACAACGAGCGACAGCTGCTTCTGATTGGGAACCACACCGGCCAACATAGATCTAGACATACTAGATCCTATAACATAGAACAAGCACAACAAGGAATATACACACCCTGACTCAACATATAAGCGTCCCCTGAGTCAGGGCGTGACAGATACAGAGCAGAATTCATGGTTCCTTCTATTAAGGCAAGTCGTCCAGGTCCTGAGGCAGCAAAGCATCCCCAAACCATCACACCACCACCACCATGCTTGACCTTTGGTATGATGTTCTTACTGTGGAATGCAGTGTGGCAGGACTTGAAACGAGCAGTTCATGCTTGAAAACCCACACGTCACTGAGTTAAAGCAGTTCTGCATGGAAGAGTGGGCCAAAATTCCTCCACAGCAACGTGAGAGACTGATCAACAACTACAGGAAGCATTTGGTTGGAGTTATTGCAGCTAAAGGTGGCACAACCAGTTATTGAGTGTAAGGGGGCAATTACTTTTTCACACAGGGGAATTGGGTGTTGCATAACTTTGTTTATGAAATAAATATGTAATTGTTGTGGTATTTGTCCACTTATGTTCCCTTTATCTAATATTAGGTTTTGGTTGAAGATCTGATAACATTCAGTATCACAAACATGCAAAAGTAGAGAAAATTAGAAAGGGGGCAAATACTTTTTCATAGCACTGTACATACGAGGCGACAGTACGTCACCTTTTGTTTGAGGGTATATTCATACATATATGTTTCGAAGTTCAAGCACTTCATATATACTGAACAAAAATATATACGCAACATGTAAAGTGTTGGTCCCATGTTTCATGAGCTGAAATAAAAGGTCCCAGAAATGTTCCAAACACACAAAAAGCTTATTTCTCTTAGTTTGTGTACAAATTTGATTACATCCCTATTAGTGAGCATTTCTCCTTTGCCAAGATAATCCATCCACCTGACAGGTGTGGCATATCAAGAAGCTAATTAAACAGCATGATCATTACACAGGTGCACCTTGTGCTGGGGTCAATAAAAGACCACTCTAAAATGTGCCGTTTTGTCACACACCACAATGCCACAGATGTCTGAAGTTTTGAAGGAGCGTGCAATTAGCATGCTGACTGCAGGAATGTCAACCAGAGCTGTTGCCAGAGAATTGAATGCTAATTTCTCTGCCATAAGCCACCTCCAATGTCGTTTTAGTGAATTTGGCAGTAGATCCATACGGCCTCACAACCGCAGACCACGTGTAACCACGCCAGCCCAGGACCTCCACATCTGGCTTCTTCACCTGCGCGATTGTCTGAGACCAGCCACCAGGACAGCTGATGAAACTGTGGGTTTGCACAACCGAAGAATGACTGCAAAAACTGTCAGAAATCGTCTCACTGAAGCTCATCTGAGTGCTCGTCGTCCTCAACAGGGTCTTGACCTTACTGTAGTTTGGCGTCGTAACCGACTTCAGTGGGCAAATGCTCACCTTCGATGTCCACTGGCACAGGCCACAATCAACAGCCTGATCAACTCTACAGTGTGGGAAAAAAGTATTTGATCCCCTGCTGATTTTGTAAGTTTGCCCACTGACAAAGAAATGATCAGTCTATAATTTTAATGGTAGGTTTATTTGAACAGCGAGAGACAGAATAACAAACAAAAAAATCCAGAAGAACGCATGTCAAAAATGTTATAAATTGATTTGCTTTTTAATGAGTGAAATAAGTAATGACCCCCTCTCAATCAGAAAGATTT